AAACGTTCATGTTTCAATAAAGTTTAATAGACTGAATGTATACTAACTTCACAGTCAATCATATTTGATTGTATTAAAAAAAAACAACTCGCGGTGATATTAGCGTGTTCCTATAATTTCTATAGTGTGCCGTGTTCTTTCAGGATAACTATCAATTCCCCAACAGTTAAAAACTGACGGATCGTGTAAAAGTCTAAACGAGCCATCATTACCGATGAATAGATAAGGCCAAAATGATGCAGGACGTCATTTGTCAAGTGGGAAAATTATATAAGAATTATTTTCTAAAATACAGAAAGATGATTGAGAGATAGTCGTGCTATCTTGCGTAGAGATCTACCCAACGAAGAAGATACCGGATACCGCTATAGCGATGTTTGAACACTAAATACTGGGTTGGCATTTATTTCCGATGTAGAACATTCGTTTGTGGAGAAATTACAGTTTGTGACTAGTTGAGGGTTTTACTAGTGGTAGATACGATCTACAGGAAACCGTCGATTCACTTGATTTTGGCTGAATGCAGGTTATTGTGTCCGTGTCTCTGTATTGATTTTTCAATTTTTATGACTGTATTGAGAGCCGACCGCGACATTGACAATATTTACGTTGAATGTCATAAACGTATTGAAGACCCACACTTTGGAGCCACCCACCTAGCTGCATGTACCGTAAACTGTGATTTATGAGATACCCTCCCGCTGATTTCTTTATTGCCGACTTCGTTCCCTTTATTTGAGTTTTATCTTCTGCTCCCATTGTCGAGTTGGTTTTCTCGAAATGTCGACTTTCTAATTTGTTGCCTTCGTTGGCTGACAATTTGGCGGAGCGTGTCTCTTTTGTTGATTGATAAGCATGGATTGTTTGTTTTGACAGGCGACCTTCATAGAATTAGCTTCATTCTTTACTATTCTCCACCAGATGATCAGACCTTGAGATTTTGGTTGCAAAACTATCGTCATTATCATCACTAAATAATTCTACAAAAACACAACACTTGTTTCGCTTTACAATAGCTTCAACTGGGTTTTCTGTAACTTTTAGACACAAACTGGAAGAAAATATACTTTCGAAACACCTGTACACCTTTTATCGAATATTGGGTTTTAAGAATCACACGTTAAAAGGTAGGACCTCGTTAGTCCTTAGCTCGCACAAGTTTCTCAACTTCTGAGAGTTGTCGTTCGTATGGGGGCGGCAGCTGATTAACGGAAAAACAGATTTTAAACAGATTAAAACAGATATTATTTTCTCTGGAATGTACAGCGTGACTCACGGTCGATGATAGGTAAGACGTTTCTGGAAAACGCAAAGCATGATTTCTCTGAAAATCCCACCTCTAACATTTCCTTACCTGTTCTATCGATCTAAAATAATTTCAGCATTGCGGCGTTGCCACTTCTATCAAAAAGTTCTAGCAAGTTTATTTTTTTGAATGGAACACCCCATATATTAATACATTTTTGGAATTGCTCTGATATTTTAATACTTTTTTGTTAAAAATGTCCTATACCTATCTCTATCTGTTTTCGAGATAAAAAATAAATTGTGCTAAATTTGGTCCAAAACATAGCCTTAATTGAAATTAAGTACATCAGTACTCTCAATTCATGAAAAGTTGATATTTTGATGATAGTTTGGACAATGTGGAAATATCAAGAATAATAAGAACAATGTCGTTCAAACCTGAACAGTATTCTTGTCGCACTAATTTATAAATGCATCAATTTATAAACTTTTTGACACTGCCAAGTTGATGTATCTTGAACAGTATTTTGTATTTCACGATACGATTCAATTGCCTATCAATTCCGTCAAAAGAAATAGAAAATCCCGAGTCACAGATTAACGCTGGTTTATTTGACTGTAGTACCTATAGTACTAAGAGCTAAACTCTTCAACGAGCTACCAACCGGTCTGAAAAATATCAATAGTTATAACAACTTAAAGTTTATATTGGAAAGTCGTCTTACCCACCATGCATTTTATTCCATTGGGGAGTTTTTTTATTGTAAGGATTTTTAAAACGGTTGTTTTGTGTATAAATTTGCGTTATTCATTTTTATCGATATTATCTCCTGTTCTAGTCCATTAAATATAGCATATTTTTGACATCACCCTACATTTAAACTTTGCAGGTTTTCTGAAAATAAATATGTTGTATTGTATTGGCTGATATGGATATCAACCAAATTACGATTGGGCTAACCAAAGTACGATTTCAAAAGCTCAATCAGTTCAGTAGTGGAGCCACATAGATTAAGATAAAGTTTCTAGGGAACGTCATTCAGGGTGATTTTTTTTCATTGTATCAACACAAATTCATCAAGTTTTCCATTCGCGTTATTTAAGTGTACCGACGAAACGAACACTTCCTATTAAATCGAAAACCCCTGCAAACTAACAATTCGTAACAGGGATTTGATAGACCCGGTCGTAGTCATCGGGGATTCGAAATTTATGGTCTAGATAATTCCGGTTCAATATCAATTTCGGAAGTCAATAAAACCGAATGTTTCCCATTACAACGATATCTCGATTTCGGTGTTACTGATGATTGTAATCTAATACAAGTATTGTGTATTTCAATTGTAACACACCCTCGGTACTAGCTGCGCGTGATAGAGGGAAGTCAACGCTATTGAGGGGTGTGACGTCTCGTGCATCAAAATGATATTTTTGATGGTTTTTCTGTTCTGTTCGATCGACAAATGAATTTGTCATGACAATTTCCCACACTGTGATATCAGAGCAAATAGTCTAGTTATTTTCACTTCCTTCTCAGTTTTTCCTTTCGAAAAAATAGTTAGGTTGTTTCGGACTCCTTTCAGCATATCTGGTATCGATAGCGATACCACAATACCTCAAAACTTTGTTATTCAGAAATACAATAAGAGTAAACGACATGATGAAATCATGAGTGTATACGGTTTGAAAAAAAGAATCCATTAAAACATCTGATAAAACTGGTATAGTTGTATAAGTGTTTCATTTAGTCCTGAGTTAGAAGCAGATGAACCTCAAGGATCTATTCGAGAGCCATTTATTATGGGAACATATACGGTGACGAACTCCTTAATGATAATTTAGAGCTTCAATGGAATAACCGAATCAATACTGTAATGGAGGGCCAAGATGTAACCGAGACATTCATTTACCTCTAAAAAAAAACTTTCTACCGCAGTCACGGGTAACAAAAAACTGATGTATGTTCTAGTCACGGATCAGAAATCATACAGTATGATCAGAGTGAAGCAGGCACTGTTGTCAACTGCTTTAATATTGGAAATACAATTCAGAATAAATAAGAGAACTATACTATAATTCCGTAATAGTAAGCACCAAATTCTCAGAAATGACTAACATGTTTGCCTTTATCTGTCTCTTGAAGTGGTGTACAGAAACTACACTAAACAGATGAGGAAAAAGGATGATAGAATATATATTGTATCACAACGTTGAACAACGTTTTTTTTGAAGGTGGTTGACGATATTTCATAGTGAAGATCATTATTTCGGGCTTGCATTATCTTATACGATATTAAAGTCCGAACTAATGGAATTCAATAATGTTTCAAGTGAAAGTAGTTGTTTCCAAAGAGCTTTTTCATCCAGTTTGAGTCTGAAGGTAATTTCTATGCATGATCATGATCTACGGCCGACACTGGAATTCTACAATCAACTACGACTCAACTAAGGTCACGCTTAGCCCCGCTTGCATCTCTACCAAAATTTCAAGAATGCCTTGTCTGTCCCAAAATTGATCCACCAGCTACCAAAAAGTCCCATCGGAATATATAGGTATCAATACGATGTAATAGAGGCAGCCTAGTTTGGAAAGTGCAGGGCGAATTGAATTAACAAGACGATAGACATTTGAATATTTGTTTGAAGCTTATTCAGGGTTTTTGTGTTATACTGACAGGGTAGTAAAATGAAGTTGAGTTGAATTTACTGTGTGGTCAATTATTCTCGAACCTACGGAAGAAAACACAACAATATGCCCAAACATGAAGTTGAAAAAGTCATGTGGAAAATTACAAGCAGTTACATTCCTATCACTCCACATTCCACACTTTTCTATGGTTACACTCCTGCTTTTCGAAGATTCAATAACTTTCTACTGTACCTCAGTTTCCTCACAGCCCCTTAAGACTCTTAAGAAATAATTTCTCCTAACCCCCTAACAACCCTGAGAGATGTATTTTGACCTAGCAGACCAGGGCATCTATAAGGACACAAGGTAATATGTCCAGTGGGTTCCAATATGTCCAGTGCGTTTCATTAGTTATTGGACCCCATTGGGTATATTACTTTGTTTACAGTTACTATATCCAGTAGGGTCCAATATGTCCAGTGGGATCCATTAGTCAGTGAACACCACTGATCATACTGCCTTGTGTCCAGGTAATATGTTCAATGGCTTAAAATATGTCCAGTGCGTTCCATTAGTCATTGGACCCCACTGGGAATACTACCTTGTTTTTAGGTAATATGTCCAGTGAGTTCCAATATGTCCAGTGGAGTCCATTAGTCATTGGTTCACACAAAGTAATATTTCCAATATATCCAGTGGTATCCATTAGTTATTCGACCCAACTGGGCATATTACCTTGTGTCCAGGTAATATGTCCAGTGGGGTCCAATATGTCCAGTGGAGTCCATTAGTCATTGGTCCACACAAGGTAATATTTCCAATATATCCAATGGGGTCCATTAGTTATTCGACCTAACTGGGCATATTACCTTGTGTCCAGGTAATATGTCCAGTGGGGTCCAATATATCCAGTTGGGTCCATTAGTCATTGGACCCCACTGGGCATTTCAGCTTGTGGCCAGTGGGGTCCAATATTTCCAGTGAGGTACATTAGTCATTGGACAAAATACATCTCTCAGGGTCGTTAGTAGGTTACGAGGGAACATTTCTCAAGAGTTTTAAGGGGCTGTGGAAAAACTACGGCAAAGTAAAAAGAAAGTTTCAATGGTTAGTTGTCTCTTACCTTCCGGTTTTTGTGATGATCATCTCTGTCCCCAGATCGTGGAACTTGTCCCAAAGGTCCTTGGTCTCCAAGTGGCACTCGACGTTCAGCAGTTCTTCGCAGTTGCAGAGTATCTTCTGCGTTTTCGGGGTTGTCACTTTTTCTGGTACAATTTCCGGCGAATCCCGATCGAAATCCACCGTTTCGGAACAACAATCGGATATCGCGGGGCTGTCTCGCCGTAGCTTCGGTTTCGTTTGACGCGAGGACTCGCTGTCAGAGCATTCTTCAACGTCGACTTCTACGTCGTCGTCTTCTAGCGGTTCGTCCAGGTCGGGGCATGTCGAGCGAGATAGACGACCTGGAAGAGTTCACAAGAATAAGGCATGGTAAAAATCAACCACTGAGTCCACTCTCACTACTTTCATTCATAAATTCACAATGTTTTCGGTGGCGGTGACGAAGTGTGGAGCCAATTTTTTGAAAAATAATTTTTTTATCTTACATAAAAAAAAATTATGGGATAGGGATTAAAGTGCCTGGTTGTTGGCAATCCTGATAGCTATCAAAACTGTCGATGTATTTTGTGACAATGATAGTTATTTTGTTATTGCGGTTCCATATTATTGCGGTTCCAGATTGGTAATATTATGCCGTTGAAATAAGCAAAACAATCAGTGTATCCTTGAAAATTAAAGAGATAAAACTACAGTTATTTTAAATTTCATTTGCGATTCTCGAAGACAAACGAGGATCCCAATAGTTGTCCATTAGAAAGCAAAAAATTCACCGTTCTATGTATTTGTGTATCATCTAATTTCAATCCATTTCGAATGAAGTTTTACCATAATTCATGTTAAAATTCAACTCAACCACTGAACTAGTTCGTTCTGTTGAAATATGCATTGTGTTTGTTTCATTGAACTGGGGTTTCACAAGAATTAGTTTTGAGACCTATTTGATTGATATGAATCAGTTAATTCTTGAAAATTCAAAATGATTTTATACAAATAATGGTGAAATTTGTATAACTAGCTGATTTCTCAAATGTTATTCGTTTTTTCCAGGCATAAAGAATGAATTTCCTAATGAATTGAAATATATTTATAATAAGGAACAACTGCCTGAATCAACAACCTCTTTGAATTGGAAAAAATTAACTAGTCAGTAAAATATATAGAAGAACAATATCCATGACTTTGTATGCTGATATTATTTTATCATTTCTGATAGAAAAAATATTTTGGTTACAACGATTGAATTGAACAGCAGTAGCAAACATAATTAAGAATTGAAGTTGAACAGTGTCTTCAAAATATTGCAATTCATTTTCCAAATAATCGTTAAAATAACTTCATTCATTTGTTTGACAATCTACTCTATTGAATTTGCATTAATGGCAAATATGTGTTTACAAAATTATATTAAAAGCAAAGTCAAGATTTTTTGAATAGATTATGAGTGTATGCTTCACATTGTTCAGAAAATCGACTACTGTATTATGAGAATGGTTTTCATCATAAGACATTAACTTGTTAATGAGGTAATACTTCTTGAATATATAATATATACATTAAGCCAAGTTAATAATATAAAAGGATTGAAACTAGATAATTAGATACGTTAATTCCGAAACAATGGCTGCTTACTAACCCATCAGTAGCAGAAGTCTGAAGAACAATGATGGATAATAATATACCATTATACAGGATTTAATGAACTGGCGTCACGAATAATTTTGATTAATTCAATTTTTCTTAATGAAAAAACTGTTTGATGAATGTAGCAAGAAAACGATGTTCAGCTACAACTGATTAAAAGATGAATGATTAGAAAAAGGCACCCAAGACGTACATTGTTTATAAAATAAAAATACTAGAAAATGATGCCAGTATCAGACAATGAAAATTTTCGAATCTGCGAATTAAGACGATGAAATTAATGTAATATTTTCAGTTAATCATATATTTTTTATGTATAAACAGTGGCCTATAAGGACTGTTATTTGAATAATAAATGTTCTCAAATGATTTATTACGTTATTCTTCAGTAAGTTATAACAGTGTATTGAATATAAATAGGTACCTACTTACATACGAAACACCACTATATATGAAATAAATGTCGATTTATTGTTACCATAAATATTACTGAAAATGCCAACTAGATATCTACTATTTGTGTAGAAAACACAAGTATTCACAGGAAAATATTTCAAGCCTATAGGTACCTTTATACGTTTTTATCTTCTCAAGTATATGAAGAATTTGCATTCATTGACACATCAGTGATTATCAAAAATTTCACCAATAGGCGAATAAATTTGTAGGGTTTGGGTAACTTTTATCAAATGAATATTCATTCTTCAAAAATGATATGTTTTTATGGCGTTCTGATTATCACTGTGCGTTAAGCCGAATCAACTATTTTTTTTTCATAGAGTTTTCATTGAATATCTTATCAAACGTTATCATTTGAAAAATATATTTGAAAAATTAATACATTTCATCCTCAATCAATTCATTATTCTGTTTTTCCTTTTTTGTTTTGCCCTAATTCCATCAGAAAATATGCTCACTTGTTCTGTGTATATCAACCACATGAACTTGCATGAATGCCTTTCGGTTTAGCAAATGCCCCGATTGTTTTCCAAAAGGTACCGGGATGAATTTTTTTTCAACAGTTCCATTAACACAAGATATTTGTTTCAATATAATTTCTGTCCGATAAATATGTTTTTTGTCAAATTTTTGTTTTGTTTTGCCCTAATTTCGTTGAATGTGTTCAATTGTTTCTCTATGGATCAGTCGCAAGAATTTTTTTCGATACCTTTTTTGGTTAGCAAACTAACCAACTGTTTTTAAAAAAGTTATGAACTGGATTTTCAATCAACAGTTTTACTCGAACAGGATGTTTTTTCTCTGCATTTCGTGTTCAATAAAAATGTTCTTGTTCATATTTTCATTTCTCATTTGCCTCAGTCCTACTGAAAAGGTATATTAAATTGACTTGTCTATAACAATTGTCTGAGCTCTGCAACTTATACCTTTGGATTCAGCAAAATTTTAACAATATCATTTCATCATAGAATTTGTTTCAATTTATTTTTCTGTTCCATTGTAATATTCTTTGTTATAATATATTGTTTTGTCGCTAGAATTTCCTATAATACCTTTTGGTTTACCAAATGCACCGAATGCTTTTCAAAAAATTACGAACTGATTTTTTTTAACAGTTTCATTAGAACATGATATTCATTTCAATATAATTTTCATTCGAGAAGTCTTTTTTGTCAAATTTTCGTTTTTGTTCTGCCCCAATTCTAATGAATATGATTACTTGATCTGTGTATATTCTATATGAGCTTTTTCGAATTTACTGTAATACCTTTTGATTTGTGAGAGTTATATTCCGATTTTTTCTTCAACAATTTTACTTGATATCCTTTTCAATGTTTTTAATACTCTTCGTCATATTTACATTATACTTTTGATATAATTCTATAAAATATGTTCAAATTGATCCAGGTATGTGAGTTGCCTTTGAATTGTTACAATACCATTTGGTTTAGCCAAAGCACCCGTTGGTTTTTAAAGAAATATGAGCTCTTATCTCTAATGAGAAATTTTCCAATCCCCGCATATCTATTTCCACAGGCACTACAGAGAAAATCATACACACTACAACTTACCGTCGCTCTGCATTTCCCGGGCCAGAAAACTCTCACTGTCCGGCGGGGAGGCGCCTCTAGCCATAATAGCCGCGATAGAAAAGTCCGTCGCCCTTTGGCTCTTCGCCGTGGGCGCGAGGAGTCCCGCAGGGACGTTATCTTCGGGCATCACTCCCAACAACATCACAACACAGTCACAAATCACAAGTATCACCACAACCGTCAAAGCTATTAACACATGTCCAGTACAAGTGCTGCCCACTCTTCAACTAAAACTCGCCTGCTCCGCAAAGCAGGCTAGAACGGTTAACGCCGCTTTCCCCGTTGCCCGGGAGGCGGGGCGATGTCGGGGGCGGGGCCAGAATCGGGCGGGGCGTTGCGTGTGGTCCGCTATCGGCTTCGCGTGACTGGAGCTATCAATCAGAAAGCTGTGGTAACGGTGGCGACATGCTATGTAGACAGACCACTTGATATCACTTGGAAGGCCACCCACCGGTCACCGGGGGCGAGCGTAATCCGGTCATGGCTGCCTATTATCCCGGTTGTCATAGTATGAGCGTTATCCTGTTGTATGAGCGGGGAGTGACCACCGGGGTTTGTTGTAACTGGGATCGTGTTAATTGTATTATATGGTTTCGATCTGTTCGAAACACCTTGTCGTTTCGTTTCTGATAGTGGGGGAGGGGTTCCGTTGTGTTATCTGGCACGCTGAGATGGACATGTCTATCAAACTTTTTAGTTTACCCCGATAAGATACTGCGTAAAAATCAAAGTATTTTTCACAAAGAAAAATCTTCTATTTATCAGTAACTTGTCGTATTTGACAAATTTAACAATATCGTGTTTGATTCACTGAAAATTCTCAAAAATCATCATGACATCATAAAATATATTTGCAATCTACGTAATCGTTATTTTGTGAAAAACCATGCAACACACGATATTATATATTATATTACATTATATTCTCAGGTCAGTCGGTAGCCAAGCGTTTCGGCGTGGGTGCTTTGTTCACTCACTCGAATTGACTGCCGTGTTGGTCGGTGGTTCAAGCCCTAGTCTGAACGATCGATCTTCACTTGCTACCGTCCAACCCGTGTTAGGAATCACACGTTAAAAGGTAAGACCTCGTTAATCCTTAGCTCGCACAAGTTTCGACTTCTGAGGGTTGTCGTTCGTAGGGGTGCGACAGCTGGTTAACGGAAAAACAGATTTTAAACAGACAGAAAACAGACAGACAGATTCTTATATTCTTTTTTTTTGGTTTAGCAAATGCCCCGATTGTTTTCCAAAAGGTACCGGGATGAATTTTTTTTCAACAGTTCCATTAACACAAGATATTTGTTTCAATATAATTTATATTCGATAACAATATTTCTTGTCAAATTTTTGTTTTTTCCCCTAATTTCGTTGAATGTGTTCAATTGTTTCTCTGTGGATCAGTCGCAAGAATTTTCTTCGATACCTTTTTTGGGTTAGCAAATAACCCACTGTTTTTAAAAAATTTATGAACTGATATTTTCAATCAACAGTTTTACTTGAACAGGGTGGTTTTTCTCTGCATTCCGTGTTCAATAAAAATGTTCTTGTTCATATTTTCATTTCTCATTTGTCTCAGTTCTACTGAAAACGTATATTAAATTGAGTTGTCTATAACAATTGTCTGAGCTCTACAACTTATACCTTTGGATTCGGCAAAATTTCAACAATGCCATTCCATCATAGAATTTGTTTCAATTTATTTTTCTGTTCAATTGTAATATTCTTTGTTATATATTGTTTTTGTCGCTAGTCGCTAGAATTTCCTATAATACCTTTTGGTTTAGCAAGTGCACCGAATGCTTTTCAAAAGATTACTCTACATTGAATTTCCAATATTTTGAAATTGAAAAGCACGAAATTCCTATGATTTTTTGTCAAAATATTTTACGATACCTATACAAAAAATTTCTATACATACATTATATTGCTGACACAATGGACAATGAGTATTCCTGTACAAAGTCATCTTTTGGTGAATAATATATTGTAAATAATGTTTTGCCTATATTGTTTTTGAAATTATAAGAATATCGTGTTCGATTCATTGAAAATTCTCCAAAATCATCATGTTATCATAAAATATTTTCGCAATCTACGTAATCGTTATTTTGTGAAAAATCATCCAACACACTTGGAACATCTCTTATACGACTATTATATATTATATTATATTAT